TGATCCTCAAAATTCTTGTACTGTTGGATCGGGCATTCAGCCGTATCCTCCTCGCCGCTGTAGAGCTCACACTTCTCTGGTTTACCCCCAATGGCGCTAGGATAATGCATGATGCTTTCGGGGTCGTATTTGTCGAAGGTAAACAGAGGGAGATAGAGCTCGGCCATTCCTTTGACCCAATCTCTGCACGCACAATTGTTGCGTAGCGCTACTCTGAGTGAGGTGCATACGTTTTCTCGGGTTACTCGAGAGCTCTTCTCGTGGGCGCGCTTGTAGCACTGCTTAGCGTTAGTAACGGTTTTATTTATTTCAGCGGCTTGACGAATGTCATACTCACCTCTTCGAAATCGCCGATTTTCTCGGGTTTGACCACGATGTAGTCGTCTCGATCACTACGCTGATGTTCGTGCGCCATACCTGCCTTTTGTTAGCCTTTGTCGGTAGCTTACACGTAGATGAATACTAACCCATCACATGACCCAGTTCGTGCATAGCCGCCCACTCCACATTCACAAGACGACCGCTTTCTGGGCCGTTCAGTTGGTTCCTCCAAGGACTCTTCTGGTCAACCGCTAGACCTGCGTTGGCCGTCCAACCGGTTTCCCCCTTTCCTACCTGGATCGTCAAGGTCTCGTGAGGCAGATCTGGGTTCCAATGGAAAAAGTCGGTTTCGCTTTTCTTGTAACAGATCACTGGCTTTCCTTCACTGTCGACCCACTCTTCGAAACTGATAGCGTGACCGGATTCCTTTCCCGGATTGCCAAGATAACTAAGGGCTCATCAGTCCACGATCAAAGGCCGTACTGGATACACACGTACGTCATCCACGATTGTATGGCGGCCTCGATAACTTCGTGCATCGACTCGCGTTCTTTTTCGTCGAAGTAACAGTAAGGGATAACAGCAATGTTTTCTGAGTTGCGAGGCCATTTTAACGGAGCCTTACCGACGGGGCCACCGAAATGATCCACAGCACCTTGGCCGTCGCCGTCGAGATCGTCGCCAATCTCGTCAAGATACTGCGCCCAGCTCGTGGCCTGCGACCCATTGGCGAGGTAGGGGAGGGGAGGACCACAGCTGAAGACATAGTCGGAATCTGGTTTATGCTTAATTGTAACTGCAGTAGCAATGGCTGCGAGCGGTAAGAGGTGGCCGAACAACATCTGAGGAAATGCAGACAGAGTGATGTGTAAAAGTGGAGGTAGGCAGTGTAAGGAACATTGGTGAGTAACGCAAGGGTAATTTCTCTAGCAAGGCGGGCGCTCTAAGACTCCGCCAGTGAATAAGTCCCAGCAAGCGAGAAATGGTCATGTGGGAGTGAAGGTGAGAGTGAGAGTGCGTAGTGACGTAGCTCCACATCAGCCGATGAGAAAGGGACGATTGCTGATACCTGTTGTCTCTCACGCCCCATCCCAGCAAAGCCATTGAATACTCACTTCCAGCGAAGGATAGCGACAAGTAATCCAGAAGCTTGCATTGCGTTAAGAACTTGCCAAATTTGACATTATTACCAATATAGACTGCAGAGTATTCGGCTTCTTCATTATATTGGTGCTCGTTATACTCGTGTGTGAACCATACAAAGCTTCAAAAATCTGGACGTCAGAACATTCCCTGCTCGTCATGTTCGCGATAGACACATGAAGAAAGCTGTCGGCTGAAGCTAGCCGCGATTTTTGAAATTGACTTCGAGGTATTCAAGACCAAAGTAAGGCAGCGTTTTCCCGTTAACGCGATAGGCAGCGATAGCTACAGATATTACTGGATATGGGATCCTCATACATCGCGGACAGTCCGCATCCCAGGTCACCGCGAGTGAAGCAACTTGGTAAACCCGTACAAAAGGTCAGTATCGTGGTTATATGAAATTTGCGAATTGAAGCAGAAGCTGGTGTGCAAGCTCGAAGAGCGGAAGTCGGGAGCGTATACACGTGGCTTGGAGATCGTTCTTTCTTGAAGTTCTCAACCGCACTGGAATGATAGAGTAGACTGCTGTAATCCGGATAACCCAAACCCCTCTCGGCGGACTCTGGGCATCAGTTTGTCATCGGTCACGCCATGTGATCATCACACACAAGAGCGCGTTACTTAGATTGTGATCAAACAAGGTCTCCGCACTGGCACAGCAAGACCCTGCTCAGCGAAGGGTGTTGTCCGGATGATCGGCGGAAATTAAACAGCTTTGTCATCTCGGTCTCCGCGGCAAGGATATACTTTCGAAGTTTCGATTCATCTACGGATCGATCGCGAGATGCTGCCGGAGCCTTGGAACCGGAGCAGAATTTGCATTGTCAATTTCGCGCGTGTTCTTGGCAGCAAACAGTTTTTCGTGACTGGAGAATACGTAAGATGATCGTGACGTCGACGACGCCAACGAGAGTTGCAGCTTCCCTTGCAAGTCTGGAGGTCCGGATGACTGATCATACTGCTTACCCCTCAGACGAACTCTATGTATATATGGAAACTCGTCAAGGGTTCAAGTTTTCAAAGAAACGCGGAAGGGTGAGATTTTGGAGTTTGTCGTTACATTCGACAGGCCACAGCCTGATAAACCTGACCCGCTGTCACAATAACGGCAGTGCTGGTTTGCAGCGATGATGCTTGGGTAGTGGAGCTTGCAAGAGTATGTGTGGCTGCTCGGACCGCAGTGAGGCGTTCGTCGGACATGTGTACGGAAGCATGAAACAATCGTGGGGTCGGTTAGCAGGGCGGTGCCTGGGCCAGATCTGAAACCTGATCAGGTGGTGGGCAAAAGTACCAGCGCGTGGGCGTCTATCAACATGGCGCTGGAGAGGATACATGTAAATACCGTGGGCGCGTCCCTGTCGCGTGTGACGGGACGGTGTTAGCGAATGAGATACTGCTGTCTCACAGGGCTGGAGTGGCGCCGATCCTACAGCAATTTCGCGGACGGGCTGGAGATGATCATCCACAGCGTACAACGGCAGGCGGCGGGTGAGGGGCAATTTGCTTACCTCGTGGCACCGATGCAATCGATTAGGTCCAGCCCGGGCTATTCATTTCGGAATCCAGGTTGAAACTTGCTGAGAACTTAGTATGCAGAAGCTCTCGGACTGACTGTGGCGGTTGCGTATGCAGGAAGAAGATGCAGGTATCTGCAGTAAGCTCAGCAAGGACTGAATTGCAGCTCAGCCGGCTGGCCTTATTCGCCGACGGCGAGGAATTCACTCTGCCGGCATTTAGTCTGCCGATGCGAGTCCAACGTTCCGAACAGAAGGGGAAGGATGGCCGTTCGGATCAGCTGCCAGGGGCGGCCTGACGGTAGACAGACGGCCACGCGGGAGATGACACGACAGTTGGACCAGGTCTCCGGATGCGAGTCTGGCCGGGCCCCGTATCGCGAAAACACAAGACCAATTGGAACCTGCTCCTCGAGAGTCGATCAAGAGGACATGTTGGAACTTTGGAGTGTTGGAGCACAGTTTTGCGCTTACCGTAGTACATGGAAAGGGGAGGTATGACAGCGCCAGGCGGTTAGGCCAGGGGAACACAGCGAAAGGCCACCGGGACCATGACTAGGGAGCTGGGTGATTCGCTCGCTTCACTGTACGTCCCGAGGTTAGCGGCTTCAGGTACGCGATGGGCGTTTGGTACTTCTGGATCGTCTCCCCGCATACTTTGGCTACCCATGTGTGAGGTAAGTGATTGGGCAGAAGACGGAATCGACGCTGCAGCGCTGACGGGCGGAGAGGCAAAGCTGACGATGCGTCGTGGCGCGACGAGAAAAGCAAGTCGCGGGCGCGGTGATATCGAGGATGCAGGGATGGACCAGCCCCTCCCGACGCCTGCAAGGTACCGCTCAGGGCAGGGCGCTGATTGGGCGGGGTGCTAGCGGAGCGCGATGTCCCTCGCAGTGTTCATGATACTTTTTGTCGTTGCGGCAGCTGCAAAGGGCGGGCCAAGGGCTATCATAAGGTCGTGCGTCGTGGTTTTCAGACTGTGGGGGGAGGCAAAGTTTGTTATTGCAAAAGGAAGGCATGACTCTGCGACGCGAGTGACGAGGCAGGAGCGACGTGTGACGCGGAAGGAGCGTGTCTGACGAGCTGCGAGGCAGCAGAGGGCGCTAGCAAATGCCGTTGGATCGCGTCGACGCATCGTCGTCGACTCTGTCGCGCTGCCAGTCGCCCGCATCCCCTGGGACGGCGCGGGTTTGGGCTCAGCGGCGCAATACTGCAACTGGCCGTCCGACCTCAGTCAGCCTATCGAGCGGATATTGGCCCGCGCTCTATGGCTTCTCTGCTCCCTGCACCGCGACGCCCATGCGCAACGCGGAAATGAGGCTAGTGGAAATTGATCCTTGTCCCATGTGCGAGTGCTTGTCACTCCCCCAGAGGCCCAAAGAGTGCATACCCACGTCGACCCGCTCCTCGAAGCCTCTTTTCGGTCGGGAGATCTGCTCTCTGCATTCTTTTCTACCACCACGCCAGCACTCCGCAGCGCGCGTGCATTCACTCCTTCACCTGTTTGCTGCCAGCTACACACGCTCCTTAACCTTTGCCATAATCTATTGTTTTGTACTTTTTGCCGCCAACCGAGCCATCCAGAGTCGAGCGCGCCCGATCCCGCCTGCAATCGCTGCACGCCTTCCTTTTCACCTCCAGCTCGCTCCCTCCTTCGCCTCTTGCCGACATTACTTTCCACTGTGCCTAGGACACACTTTCGAAAAACACCGCCCGTGACCGCCCCGTTGTTGTTTTTGGCCCCGCTACATGTTCGCGTTTGCTCTTTCCTCCCACCCCGAGTCGCCTTGCTCTCACCTTCCCCACTCCTCGCTCGAGTGCGCCTGCCCGCTCACCCCAGCGACACACCAGTCGAGATTGGTCAGCGCACAGTCGTCGCTATAATCCAGTCTAATCACTTTCGCCAGTAAGACTACACTGCTCCCCATCCCCATTGCCAAAGCGCCCTCCCATTGCCTCTCGCCCACTCCGGATGCAATGCGGCGTACTTATACGTTTGCTAATAACTGCCAGACCATCATGAACCGCTGGTTGAACAGGAAGAAGGATGGCGCCGAGGACGCGGCCGCCGCCCCAAAGAAGACGAAGAAGGGCAAGAAGGGTCAGGAAGAGCCCAAACCAGAGTTCGATCTCAACTTCGCGTTGCCTAAAGCAGATGACTTCCGGACAAGTCTGATCATGCCTGGCCTGTCCACCCGCTTCAGCATGTTGAGAGAGCAGGACGACCCAGACTCCAAGATTGGTAAGGCCAGCGACGACAGTGTACTACAACCGAAACGCCAATCGCGGCTCCACGAGTTCGGCTTCGTTCCAGGAGGTCTTTCCGATATAGCTGAAGTCTCCTCGCTCAATGGCTCCATCCGACCGCCCTTCGCAAGCGAACGGACCAATTCCTTCGACAGCAGTAGAGATGACGACGGCTCTGGTAGCGTTATGAGCAGAGCTAGACCCGGCGAGGGCAACGTCTTGTTCGGTGGACGACAAAAGATCTACATGATCTCTAATACAAACGCGAAGGGCACCGGACGGACACTCTACGACGACGACGTTAATATGTCAGCATACCAACGGCTCAGACAAGAGGAGAAGGACAGGCTGAGGCAGCAGTCGGATTATGAAGACGGCCAGAACTCTGAGCCGTCCAGCCCTACTGAGCTCAGCCGTAAGAGGGAGACTTCGTCATCCACCAACTCAGGCACATTGAACACCCGCACATCTACAGCCGCGACTTCGATAGCGTCACAGGGCACCAACTCTGTATCAGCCTCCTCGCCGGCGTTTCCCCCAGCAGGTGCCCCGATGACATCCCCAGATCTAGGCCGGTCCACAACGAAACGGAGACTTTACGACCAAGGGCTGGACCAGCAAATCCAAGAGCAACAGTCCTCAGCTATGAACCGTCTCAACTCCATACAACGCGCACGTGCGCCAACCGGACGATCAACGCCACCTATTCCCATATCTCAGACACGTTCTGCCACCAACCTGAATGACCGGTTCGCTCGGGGACCACCCGCCTTCCGCTCAGACAGCCCAAACGCGCTTGGATACCCCGGCATAAGCAGGAACAACTCCTCCGGCGCGTCGAGCCCCGTCCTCGCACGCCCGCAGTCGCCTGCACTGACAAGTCCCGTCATCAGTGACAGTGAAGAAGCTCATACCCTCAATGCTGCACTTCAGCCCAACGATCGGGGCAAAGCGACCGCCATGGGTGCTTTCAACAAACCCAAGGCGGCGTTCAGCGAGGAGCAGTATGCAGAGCGCTTGCGCCATATGCAGCAGGACCGAGAAGGGCGCTCAACACCACCTCAAAAGGCCGAGAGGTCCCCGCCTCGTAAGCCCACTTTGAGAGAGCGTGCAGAGCAGCAAAGGCGTAAGCGAGCTGAAAGTGACGCAAACGAACGGTCAAGCTCTGAATCAACTGCTGAACCAGCTCAAGCACCCTCTGCCTTCTCCAGGTTTCAAGCTGCTGCCAGTCAGATGAGAACCGCAGGCCCAGGTACCCCGACTTCGCCACCGACCCAGCGCCTCCCAGCCATTCCACGCCAACCAGCAGCGTCTCCAGACAATTGCAACAAAGCCACCTTCTTCAGTTCCCCAGATTCCAGCGAAGCAGAAGATGAAGCTCCCAGGCCGCCAACCACGCGCGCGACAGAGCCCACTCGTCGATTTGACAATCTCCCCGTAGCAACCGGACCCGCACCCTCAATGTTCGAGCATCCCGCATTCCGCTCGCGGACAACATCGGAGGAAGAGGTTTCTCAGAATGGCCCTTCTTCGTACAGCCCTGCTCTTACCCAAGAGGCGTCTCCACGCCCCGACGAGACAGTGAAAGTGGACGGTACCGAGGTTGACTCACCAACACTGGGTCCTGAGAGCAGCGGACTGAGTGGAATGATTAGGCAGCATCTTCGCAACGTCAGCAATGTTTCTTCCAACTATGGTGAGCCAGGTCCTCCAATGATGAGCCCACCTATGGGGCTCGCCATTCATACACAAGGGTCTGGCTTCCAGCGCCGCCAACCGGGGTCGGAATCGGCTACCCCAGCTCCCTCAACATACAGCCACTCTAACCCATGGGATTTGGACGACATTGACAACCCCTACCGCGATGAACTCGTCAAGATGAACTCTGACGAGCAGGCCAACGTACAAAACGCCACACCACTGATCATGAGCGCAACCGAACCAAACCCTGCAGCTCCCTGGGATCTTACTCCGCGAAGAGCCCATGAGCGTGTTGCGAGCAACGAGACAGAGGCCGACCACGAGGCCTTCCAACGAGACCTCGCTCACAGGCAACGCTTGATCCAGGAGAATCTCCGTGCCAAGGCTGAAGGCCGTTCAACAAGTCCAGCACCAGCACCCGCGGGCCCATCCAACGGACTGAAGACAGCTTTGAACATGCTCCGTGCAAAGTCGAGCCGTGAATCTTTTGCTACAGTTGATGTTTCTAACAAATCAGTAAGGAAGCTTGCTCTTGGAGGAAGTTCAGCGAATGTCAGCAGCACCTCGCTCGTAGGCCTTCAGGGTGATATGCCAGCCCTGCGACCAAAGCAGTCCCGAGTATTGCAGCAAAGTGAACAAGACGCACAGCGGGAGCACGAGAATCGCCAACGATCGGCAACCGAGAGCAGCCGCACTGGTCGTCCATCGGGTAGATCTCCACAGGCATCGACCAGAAGCTCCACGCGAGAGCGCTCGAGCTCTGGAACATCGTCAGGCCGTTCCCGGAGTCGCCATGATCAATACCGCGATGACCTGGACCAGGCTATGGCAGATGGCACCCGCGGCGCGTATCCTGCAAACACAATGCCGTCAATGCCTGGATACTCTGCTCACCCCACGCCTCCACTTCCTTCTGAGAGACCATCGCTGGATTCCCAAGGTCGCATGCGATCGCGCAGCAACAGCAAGACTGCCGCGGCGAACTACTTCGAGTCGAAGCATCTGCACCCTATTCAGACTAACGCTGGATCGGGTCAGAACACTCGTCTGCCTCCTGGGGGGAAATTCTCCCCGGGAATCCCTATTTCGCCCCGGCCTTCACCAGGTGGCTTCAGCAGTGCCAACGGCAATGGCTTCTCGCACCCAACATCTCCAGTGCCTCCATTCTCTGCCAATCACACCCCTCCTGTCTCAAACCCCACTACACCCAACGCTGCCGCGTTCAACCCAAGTACCGTGCAGCCGTTGACCAAAACTGGAGTGCTACGGAAGAAGTCCATCGCGAAGTCGGAGATCTCGGAGCCGGTGTTCCTTTCCACAACTTCTTCGATTGACACCATCAATCTTCCAGCTGGTGCTTCTCTGAAGAATGGCATGGAAAATAACGCTCCCCCTGTTCCGCCAATCAACCCTATGAGGCGACGTTTCGGATTTGGCCGCGGTGAAAGCCAAAGCCAAAGCCCAACGGGTCCATCACCTTATGACCCTGCTGTCCAGCATGGAATGGATGGACCTCGAGCCCCTTACGCTGAGCCACTCCGCACCAACTCGTCCGACGCAGTGATGAACCAATCGCAGCAACCAAAGAGCAGACTGCGAAAGGCGTCCAGTGAAGGCAGGAGCCTGCGCGGTGACGCACAAAGCCAAATGGGACCCTCGCCAGCAATGCCTCAAAACGGCTTCACCGGACGCAATGGGTCACCTCCACGTCCTACCAACGGTCAACAGCCCATGGAGGGTGGCATGTTCTAAACGGCACCTCCGCTATACGAGCTGTTGCTCTGTCAGCAACTCAACATTCGTGATCAAAAGCGATCCTTTATCAATCTTTGGCACATTTGGAAATCTCTTTTCTTTTCTGTATGTCTACTTTCGGTCCACGGATCGCCGTGTCTGCGATCACGGCCTTTTCTTTCCTTAATCTCTTTCGGCTTCCGGCTTAGCAATATACCTCCCCGTTCTGCGACTGCGACTTCTCTTTGCAAAGATCTCATTTTACGATCAACGATAGGGTTCTGGCTAGATTACCACCTTCACCGGGCTGGACACGGTGTTTCTGGAGGTTGGCAATAGCATCACACAAGTTTGAGTACATTCAGTAAGAGTCAGGTTCGGGAGGATTGCATGTTTATCGGAGTCTTCATGTACTGCTAGTCACTACAGCCTTTTCATAGGCTCACGGTTCAGCTCGCGCTGCCAGACTCGCGTCAACCAATTCGTGGTGTTGAATACAATCAATTGCCTCATACAACAGATCCTATGCACAGAGTTCACTCCGCCAGCACTGATTCGAAACCAATCGCATCATCACTGTTAGACCTCAGCAGCCAGCGGCGACTGTTGGACGTGGGACAACGGTCGCAATATGTCTGAAACCCCCGCGCGCGTTGTTTGGACTGATTATGTACCGTGCCGCGTTTCCGGTTTCATCGCTGCCGAATGCATGCAGCGTCAACGGCGTTGACACCTTCACATGCAACATGCAGAAAAGCATGATTTCGTCACCATGCAAAAGGAATATGAGACGACATTGCCCATGTGCATAGGCGAGCGACTCACGAGCCCTGTGTTTCAGATGCCGCGAGAAGGGCCGTGCGCTGATTCGAGAACCTGGGATCGTCGCGATGGAAGATAAACTACGAACTCTCGGCTCGAGACGAGGTTTGATCGATCGTCGATACTTAGAAGAGGGTGAAAGATAACAATGGGATTGTGGGCGAAGGTTCTATGACGGAGAGATGGAATTGCTGTGGAAGGAGAAAAGGGATGTTGGTGGGGACAGTGATCTAAGGCCTGCATGCCGCTTATCGCGTACCTGCATCTTGCGACCCATTTTCACGCGTCGCCTTCCTTTGTCGGAACCAGGACGTCAGCAACACAACCCGGCGCTCTTGGTAGCGGTATAGTGGCATCAAATCTTGGGCAATCTTCTCGACATTCGATGATGTGCACACAATCTTAAGTAGCGGAGCGCAAGATGTTACTCCAAAAGACTAAGCGTTCGATGATGGAAGCTCCACGTCCAAAGTCCAGTCTACCGTAGCGGTGCACTACGCCACCGTGCCATTGGAACCGTCGACGGCATCTTCCCCATCCGCACGCCAAGGGGACATACTTTCCTCTAACGCAGGGTCGGCATCCGGTGCCGCACGAAGAACGCATGTCCCTCAAAGGGTTCGCTGTGCAAACAGAAAAGCAATTTAACAAGGCTGTCAGCAAGCGTGATGTGTGAGGGCAGAATGAGGAGAAGTCAGCAAAAGCCGTTGTGGTGTTCTATCGGGTACAACATCCCTACACAAGCAAGAGAAAAAGGTCTGGATTGCAAGGCGCAGGGCCTGCCAAAACAGCCCTGACACAGCTCCGCAGGCCGCCTGATTGGGCCGGCGACAAGAAATCGCACCGTCGCATTGCGCAGAGCAAAGAAAAGCAAGGCCGCCTCCCACCATCCATCTCCACAGCTGTGCCAGCACGCCGCTTAGCTAACGCTAAAGGACCGCAAGTTCGGCGCCATCCCAAACTCTAACTGCAACCTAACCCTCCTTCCGAGGCACATTGCACACCTATGCGAAGCTCTCGCTGCGCATCCGTCGCCCGTAACTCGACGAGATACACCCCTCTAGAGTACGTAGGTGCGATCGCAGGCGCAGTAGATCAAGGAAACCAACAGCGCCCAGGGAGGGGTACTGGGGAAGATAGTCAACTGCATACCAAGGCTCTGCGACAAACCGCGGCAATCCCTGGGGACGATCACCGGGTAACTCCAATGTTAATCTCCACGAGTCTATTGCTGCGTTAGGGAGCAGGCTTGGACCAAGGTATTGGTTGCTAGAATCGAAATCAGTACATAGACCCCCTCTCCGTCCCATCGTTTTTCTCGCTCAACCCTGTTCCATCTCACTTCGACATTCCCTCACTCCAGTCCATCTTTCACATATCGAATACTATCACCAATACATATTATACCATATAATCAAGATGCGTTTCCAGGCTACAGTCCTTGCCGTCGCGGCTTCGCTCGCTTTCGTTGGTGCTCAGGATTTGAGCGGTATCCCCCAGTGCGCTGTATGTTGCCCTTCCTCCCCTATCGAGATCGCATCGGACTTCGGAGCCCACATCTCCACAAGACGATCGCGATCGCGATATGGGCACATCGCATCTAGCATCGCCGACTAACACACAACTCAATAGATCCCTTGCTTCGTCGCTGCCCTCCCCAGCTCCAACTGCGGTGTCACAGACACAAACTGCCAGTGCACCAGCGGCCGCTCTGCCATTGAGAACTCGCTCCTTACTTGCGCACCCGAGCGATGCGAGCAGAGTGAAATCTCCAGTACGTTTTGCATACCCTACATACTTATCATCTTCGTCCATATCTAACGCGACTACTAGGCCTTGCCCCCGCTGTCTCCTCCCTCTGCGCCGCCGCCGGTGTAACCCTCTCCGACATCCCCACTGCTGTTCCCTCATCTGGCGCTTCCATGACCGGCTCAATGATGTCCAGCATGATGAGCGGATCCCCCACTATGAGCGGCTCCATGTCGCCCACCAGCTCTGGTGTCGCTGAGCAGACCGAGAACGCCGCCGCTGGCAAGCTTGCTAGCTACGGTGTCGTTGCCATGGGTATGGCTGCTGTCTTCGGATTGTAAATGTCGGATACCTGGATGGGTGATACGAAGGGCGCGTTGGTTGATTAGGAATTTGTAATGCGACAATCGCTTGTATATCGCAATTGATACCGTATCGTTCGTTTGAATCGCTGAGTGTCTGACGCTGTGCGCGAGTGGTTGGTGATATTGAATTGGGCTCGGGCTATGTTCCTTTGTTCACGCAGCTTCGAGTGCGGTCGCCCATTTGCCAGACCATGCTGTGAACTCGTCGTCTTCTCCAGCCCAGCTCTGCCTGACCAGCTTGATCGTGCTGTTTGCCTGACCACAGCATTTATCCAAAGTTTCTTTCGCTTCGTCTTCGTCGAGATCGTAGAACGCGCCCGCGATGTCGTCGACCGTCTCAGGTATCGTCTTGAGAGTATTTACAAGCGCATCTAGCTTCTTGCAGGGTGGCGAGGTCGCACCGTTCGTTGTGGCGGCCGGTTCGAGCGTGGACGATGCAGGATACGTCTTCAACCTCCTCTTGATGAGTGCTTGATACAGCATGCCAATCATCTTCAGCTTCTTGACACTGGTATCCAGCAGTTCCTTCAGCTCCTTGTTGTCCTTGCCAATCTTGTTCGATGCGCCGAAGATCTCGTCTTCGTCGTCGCTGCCTTCTGCTTCGTCATCGTCGTCGTCCACGTCTTCGCCCCATTCTTTCAGCTCCTCGATCGCATCGAGTAGGACTGCGCGGTACTCTTGCGCTTTCTTGACTACGAGTCCTACAACACCGTCTTCGCATAGCTTTAGCAGCGTGTCGCACACGTCCCAGAGTACACCTGTCGAAGACAAGACTTCTTGCTTCTCGCTCTCAGTTGGGCCTATGTCTTTGCCTTTTGCGCTTTGTCTTTTCTCTGCCATCTTTAGGATCATGGCGAGAACTTCTCCCCATGTTCCCAGCAATCTCCGTACCTGCGCCTTGACTTCGGTGCGCATTATGTCCCCGATATCGCCCTTCTGACCCTCTCGTGGTATATACGAAGCCGCGGTCACCATGCTGTTTAGTGGGCCTGAGGTCACATCGCCAATTTTCGCTATTATCGCCGATGGTGTGAGGGGCGGGTTGATGAGGAGGAGGGACAATGTGGTCGTGTGCGATTTGAGGAGCTTAGTCGAGGCTCTGATAACATTGAGAGGATCTGCTATCTCCGTTTCGGACGTAGTAGGAGCGGCATCTTTGGTGGGCGCGAGAGAGGATTGGTAGTGCGTGAGGAGCGCTTGTGTGGTTTTGGTGAGGTCGATGAGACTGCGCAGGTCTTTTGGTTTCGACATCGCGCGTTGCTTGTGGGATCAGTTCAAGGAGTATTCTGTCCTTGAGGGCTTTAAAGGTAGCTGACGATATGTGCGCAGTTCACGCGCCAAAGTTTGGGCAGTATCAAAATTTTGGTGGGGCAGTGACTCTTAGCGGGGTACCCAGGCACATGGCTTCGTCATTCGTCATGCCCGTGCCGTGCTATAGCGGACGTCTTCCGCAGATGGCTGCGTCCGTCTCTATCTTTACATGACTTTACTCCTTCTTCTGAATTTTGCATTTGGGTCTGAAGAACCTTCTTGCGATGAACTCAAGTTGTGTACTTCGAGAGCCAGATACTTCACAATGGTAGTTTCCAAGGCTGTTCGTCTCAAGTCATCTATCTACGTTCTCAACAAAAGAACAACTAATGCCCCTACGATGAATGCGTGCACGAAGACCACTCATTTCAACGTGAATGATGCCTGATGTCTCCTAGGAGTTACACTATCACGGTCTACATGCTGGGTCTAACGTTACAATTATGCTAGTCCAGTCCAGACCCCTACGGCTTCGAAGGCGGAGTCGAGGCAGTGAACCCCAACACGCAGACACGACTGCAGGAGGATATGTACCGCTGATTCATGTATTCACATGTATGTAAGAGTTTGTCCCGAGGGCTGCTGAGGCCACAATGGTTTTCGTTCCCTTCCTCATGCTGCTTGCATTGAGCCGCGCCAATGAGGCTCGGGCACTAGGCATTGAAGGCTGCGAAGCGCAGTCATTGCAGTTCACCGGAATTGCAGGTCTGACCACTGAGAATTCACCACATGTCACCTCGTACTACCGCCTTGCAGGTGCATGTACGACTGACTGTAAAGCAATCATGCTTAGTAGACTTGGAGAAATACCTGGGTGAGTTTCACGGTTCGCGTGCTTCCACATCAAAGAAGGAGATCTTGCACGCCGTATTGATGTGTCCTGAGTATAGTACGCAAGTCGTCAGTGATACGTACAAGTTCCGAATTCGGAGAATGCTGGAGGCGGTATGGACCCCTGTTATGATCAAGATTGGTACAAACTCATCTCGTGGGGGCTGGGTGCACGCTGGCCTGCCGCGGGCTGAACAAGTTTTCGTGGCAATGTCCTCGAGCAACACTGGCCTAGGAACTCGGCGCTGCGGTTACCGTCAGTGCTTCCATATAAATCAATCTGCCCAGCTTTCCCAATGAGGGCTTTTCCGATTCATGTCGCTGAGCTTTAATGGAATTGCAATGGATCAATACGCTTCGTCGTGCAGAGAATTTCGAAGCTACCCTCAGAATCTCACACAGCGATGCGCTCTCAGCTATAGTTTGGCAGGGTACATCGCTCGGCTGGAATCTCATTCTCAACATCTCTTCCAAGATGAGAGAGTGGAAGTGGACATTCTTGATTATCGGGAACTGGACAATCGTGAGCGCCCTATTACAGGCCAAAGGTCGACCTACTGACCACAAACAAGGCTTCAGATCGGCATGCGTCAAAAACCAACGAGAAATGGAGCTTATGCTCAGTTGTAAACGTTCATTGACGCCAGAGGATGTCGATCCGACATGCCGTTTCATGTCAGTGGAAATTTGCTTTTTTGGGTTTCAGCTAATGATGATAGATTCCTCACAGCGGGCCAAAGCCGGGCGCCGTTACGGATCACCCACAACATGTTCAGCCTTCTATGTACCGCCTACCAAGTTCCTCCTTCGTTTTTGGATTGCGTATTACCTTTCGGGCTGAAGGAGGAAGCAAAAGACTTCGATTCCAGTGGACTGAAGGGAGAATACCGACTGGCGTCCAACGACAAAACGTACGTGTTGCCAAAATTGGATCGCTCGGGAAGGAACCTTTGCTTCAGTTACACTCTGAGATCCGTGGAACCGACGTCACGTCGGTCAAAAGAACCTTGGTCTATCCGCCAGTGTGCTGTCTACCATACATTCGACGTGGAAAATGGCAAAATGCTTTGGATAATCGTCAAGGGAAACAAAGAAATACAGACACGCGTTACCAAAGTATCTAAGGGATTAACAGATCGCGGCGATCCTCTCAAGTCTCGCAGTGATTCGTTTGCAACATCGCTAGAAACGCATCTTTTGCTGTGCTATTGGTCCGGAGAAAATTGGCGAAGTTACATCAACGATTTCGAAGATCACGCGACCAAATTGGCACCAGGGCTATCGGCATCTGAGGTTGAGAGAGATCCATCACCGCTCTCATCACCTGCGCTGCCAGAGTTCACGAGTGTAAATTCTAGCGCAGAACTGTTCAACCTGTCGCAAGCAAACACCCGGACCCAGTCATACGGGTCGCAAGAAAGTCCAGAGACGTGTGCATCAGCACCGACAGGTAACACCGATCAGCCTTGCAGCTCTTGGGCTTCTTCGCCGAAGAAGAGCGCTCTTGCCGAGACAAGACGGTGGAGATCGTCTGCAAAACATTCTCGTGGACCACTAGCGAAGCCTTCGCAATCTAATGCTATCGATAGCCGTCTAAGTCCCGGATACGAGAAGACATTGACAGCATCTCCTGAAGCAATGACGTCGCCAAAGCTTCCATCTACCTTTCTCAATGGTATATTAGACAAGAAATCGGAGAGACTTACTTACAACAATCTACAAACCATACAGCATATCGAAGAGAAGGCACAAGAAGCCGTGCTTGTTCTGAAGCTGAACACCGAGGTTCTTGAGCACTTGAGGCTGCACTACAATCAAGCAGTGAAGCATGCTGATTTCCCGCAAGATGTGAAGAACGAGTGCAGAGCCAGTCTCCATAGTTTCACCGAACGCATAGTTGGAGCAGAGGAGGACATGCACATGTTGCGATCGCGGACTGAGAAATTATTACTTGCTCTGCAAAATGAATTGGTGGGGCTATGACTGTTAGTGGGGCTATTTCGCCAAATCCGTCATAGCGAGTTCACTCCGCTTTTCAAACCATGCTCTACCGTACCTAGGTAATACACTCCATAAGGATCTTGGATACGCGCACGTTTCTGCGAATTGTGGATGAATGATTAGAGTCGCATTCAAGCAAGAACAATTAGAAATTAGCATGAGAACTAACTCAGGAAAAGAGAAGCGAGACTGAAATGTTCAGATACTCCGTCTGTCTCGGCTAGGCTTCAATACAGGTCATCCACCAGTCGTCTTCCTCGTTTTCCATTTCATGGTCCTGGACACTTTCATACTCCTCTTCTCGCGCAATGAAGCCAATGTCTCGTGGCGATAGCAAATCGCATTCCAAAGGTTCCTCAAGTAGTTCCCCCTCTTTGCTCATGAAGCCCGCACGCCCCGGATCATATGTCCCGGTCGACAAGTCCACTTCACCTTTCCACTTCCATCCCTTGGTCTTGACGATTTGTAGCTTGTAGGCTAAGATCACGTTACCCATCATGTTATATGTCTCGCTGGTTTTCCCACTCTTGCTTCCTTTGACGTCGCCCTCAAAAGTTGCTTCCTGCGTAACGTGTGCCTGTCCTCCCATTCCAGCTTCTTTGTCTCTCATGTGTTCATTTGCATACTTCAGCCCGTTGGCCAACTTCAGAGAACTTATGATGTATATAGGACCTTTCGTGAGCGCGTCTCGGACTGCCTTGTTCGTTGAACGCAGTTCTTGCACCTGTTCCACTCTTGGGTTCCTCGCCAGCATAACAGAGTCAATCCGGTCGAATTTGTATGTCGTCTTCCAGTCTTTGCTTCGTTGTGCATCTGCTTGCCCGCCGAAGGCGGTATACAGTTTAGTAGCGAGCTTGATGGCTGCTGAGGAGTGGATTTCGCGGTCTTTCTGGCCTTTGCCATAGCTGATCCCAGGGATAATTTTCAGCTGACCATCGAGATTCGCAATGTCGTTCTGTGGCTCCGCGACGTTGGTGATGATATTACCGATTCTGATCGGCCCGCCGTCAGGGTAATCGAGGCTTGGGGCCCGTAAATACCAATTCTTATCTTCTGGCAGAGTAGACATTGGGGCTCATCCAATCAAAGTATGTGATGGCTATTATTGTTGTGTGGTGGGATAGATTGAAATTTCTCGCTGGTCTCTTGAGGGGGACTGGAGTTTTACACCGATGACAATGCGCAATCGAGGACCTTGGAAATTTGCCAGATTGCGGCTGAGCGACTCGTGTCATCGTACTCGAAAGGCTGAGTGCATGCATGTAGACCTAGGTAAGTATGCTGCAAGCTCGTCAGACGCGTAATCAAGTCCATCGAGTAGCGAGTGGGCTGAGCTACCCCCGGCTGTTTCCCACAGATCATGTGGAAGCTGAGCTGTGGCCGCTGCACGATCGGTCTACGAGGCCCTGAAGCATGAGAAGCGATGACCACATTTTCATAAGATGATTGACTACCTATGTACCTAGGTAGTGAAATGGCTGTATATTGAACTTGCACATCTCAGACCCAAATTCTGACTGCCGTATCCTGCCCCACGCTGGGTGCGAAGCGTGAAGTCAGACACGCGCAATACGATAAGTGAGGCAACACCGTTGTGGACAGGGTGAACTTGTTGTGGGTGGGTGATCAGCTAATCCTACGATAAGCCATCGGTGATGCCATAGGCTGCAGCCACATGTGCGGGGTCGAACATTCGATTTCGCTTTTCATAACCTGGCTTCGATGCATGCCCACTGAAGGCGATGTGACTGCGAAGAAGCAGGAGAATAAACCTCTCCGTGACGACATCATTCGCACCACATCCATGGACAGCCACACCCAGCTTGTCACCGAAACAGACGACATCCTGAGGCATATTGACAGCCTACAGGTTGCTGCAATCGACGCGTACTCCCCACTTCCCGGCCGTACCTTCGTTCCTAACCCTTCTCTACGGGATTACTTGTCGCGCGAGAGAGTCAAAACGCTCCTCAAATTCTGTGGTCTTTCCGTCATTGACTGGCACACAATACACAGACACTACCTGACTGTTTTCGTGATTCTTCTTGTGATAAGAAAGGGGAAATACATCTCTCACTTCCGGGCGCATGACGCGCTCGCCGACGATCAGCTGCCCTTCCATAGTGGCAGCAACTGGCCGTCTATGTGTCTCAAGTTCTACGACAAGTTCAACGACGCTCAATGGAGGTTTTGTGCGCAAGAACTGAGGGCAGATCGTCTGGAAGACCGAGTGATTCCCTGGAAGCGCATCATACCGATAACCTCGAAAGCCATCCTCAAGAACAGTGCTGATTCCGATACCTATCGAGTGGAAATTCATCCCGATTATGCCCCTAAAGTAAGCTCAACCTCGTTACCTGGAGTCGCAAACAAATTCTCATTCTTTCTAGAGTTACAAGAAACTTGACAGTACTATCAACCCCAACGCCTACGTTCTGAAAGTATATCGAGGGGAGCTAAGTCGATTGCACTACAACGAAGTACGGGCCTACAAGATGCTTAGCCACAAAGATGTTGCACCCAATATTGTGCACTTCTACGGATCATGGAAACATGGCGATACATACAACCTGCTACTCGAGTTCATTCCAGGAGATACATTGGCATCGCTGTTCACTGCGGCTCATCCAACAACTATAGAGGAGATACTCAGCTTCTGGTTCAGTATGACGAACATCCTTGGGCCAGTCTGCCGAATACACTGCCATACTAATCCTGATAACGACGATGGAATTCTTCTTGGGTGAGTTAAATCGAGTCTCCGGCGAACACAGATCTGATGAGCAACTAGAGTACATCAAGACATTCAGCCCAACAACATCTTGGCAACACGAATTCTCAGTTCAGAGTATCTGTTCAAGCTCATTGACTTCGAGTTGACACACTTCAGCGCGGCAGACTCACCGCAGGAATCCTCATGGCTTCGGGATGCGCATGGAGTACAAACATACAGTAAGTGTCACAGCCCCTGCTGGATCGTACACTAAATGTGTCAGGTGCACCAGAGTGCTTTCGGAACGAGTATGATGGATTCGATAAGCGTACTAGCCGGTCAGCAAGTCCGAATAAGGACGTGTTCTCTTTAGGCTGCGTCTTTAGCGAAGCACTTGTCTGGTCTACTCTTGGTGCGAAGGGCGTTGAGGCTTACCGACTGATGCGAAGAGCGTCAACCGAAAAGATTGCAGAACTCAGAAGAACAGCATATAGTGGATGTTTTCATGATGGTGAGCGTGTTCTCTCTGCCGTAAAGTTAATGCACGAAGAAGTACGAACCTCCCGTAGCGATGATCTTCCGGTTTTGAGCGACTTGGCTCTCATTATCGAAGACATGCTTAGTAGCGATTCTGTTCGTCCATCGGCGCCTGAAGTTCGAAGACGTCTTCTGCGTGTGATTCGGGACGCGGTCAGTACACGAGACATCTCTAAAGCTGGATTTGAACTCACCATCTTGACAGTCCAACGCCGCGTCTCTACAGTCTCATAGAAGCAATTGATAATTTGATGCTTTACTCATCACAAAGTAACACAATGAAGAAATCGTCAACTACTCAATCAATTGTGGTTACTAAGTAAGGCAAGCCTCTATGTGATTTCCCACGATATGAGAACTAAAGTAAGATGCTTCGAGTCAATTAGAATAAATAAAAATTACTGACCGAAGAGTCTTAAGGTAATTAGCTGATAGCTGAGAATGGGACTACTAAATAATTGAATTGCATAGACCTACAAGTATCAGTCATCTTCCCAACGTCGCCCTCGCAATTCTCGCCTTTGGGACTAGAGCAGTTATTAGTCTCAAATTGGTTGTAAATCACGTTTCGGGGGAATTCAAAAGGACAGGTCTTACAGGTATTAATCTGTGTGGGACTGAGAAGCGATACGTGTCATTGATCACCTACGATTGTTATTGCGAATCGATCAAGACGACTGTAGATATACATACCTCGATATGAAAATCGCGGCTTCCGAACAATTCCATGAGAAACCTTTCGAGATCCTGTTGGTCCAGCCTATACACAGGAAAGGTGTCCTGGACAGGATGATCTGAATAGGTACTTGCAGGGCCATTGATGAAATTTCGATCGCCTCCTGGAGGTATCTGTTCAGCCCAAGAGATGATTGCAGAGTTGAGATCAAGTTCCTCGGGTGGTTGCAATGCGGCGATTGATCGAAGGTTCGACGTCTTCAACGTCGGCTCAAACGTTACATTTGGGGAATACACTAGGAATACCGGTGTTGACGATGAAGCCCTGGATTCGGCTTTTTCCGTAGAGATATCTGAGGGTAGGTTGCTACTGCGTCCGGACTTGTCTTCTGGCTCTGGTAAAGCCAATAACGCAAACTCCTGCATACAGTAGCCGATATGGGCCATGAAGGAGACCTCCTTGGGCCTGATATTCAACCCCTCTTCCTTTCGATTAACCCACTCGCTTTCAGAGAGTGAGCAGACGTGACATATGTCAAGAGCTGGAGTTTCATATCTCAAACACATATCCGGAAGGTCCTGTAATAGTTCTTCTGGCACAACACCGTGATGAGAAGATGCGACATGCTCCAAGAACCCTGTCCTGTCTGTGAAATCGGCTTTTGAGGTGCAAAACAAGCATTGCCATTCTCTCCTGGATTGGTGGTCTGAAGCGATATGCTCCTGCCACGCGGCGAAGTCGTCAAAAAGGGCGGTCTCTCTATTGCAGCTCGGTAAATAGCACGTGTATGGTCTAAGATCCTGAGATATATGTTTCCTGTCTGGGTCAATGCTAGGACACGTTTTCTCGCCGCGCGTGACTTACTTCCACTGAGGTCGCGATATAGAGTCCTTCGTCAACAATAGCCAACAATATGGGCAAGGAACCAATTTGTTCTCTCCAAGACTTGGAGGCTCAGGATACTCAGTGTTTGCAGCGATAGTGGTTGGTGGAGCTTGACTGAAAGTCTTCTTCGCTCCAAGTTTCTGTTCTTTCGGGAGCTCAAATGCCGACACTTTACTGGTACTGGTAGAGTACGCAGTATTCGCCGCAAAATCATGTCTGGTCGCCTCTTCCGAAGATAAATGAAGATATCCGGCGAGCATGGTGTCCTGTGGGGTTGATTTTGTGGATGAAGTATGGCTATCGGCTTCGTGATCCGGACGTGAATAATTCTCTCCTAGATGCTGCGCCCTTGCCTTGGTGAAATCGAAGCGATGGCGACGCTTTAAGTTCCCTTGCAGTAAACTGCACTGTTCATTTGTCAGAGCCTTTGTGTCTAAGTGCATTGACTGTAGCAGTGAGACTGAATATTCTGGTAGTCCCCGATTGTCTTGCCGCAATAGAGTGCGCAATTTTGGCAGTAACAATTTGGATTCGAGTTCGCGCTTGAAATCTCGGTACTTGGAGGCATCTTTGTGTAATGATCGATCAGCTCGCCTCAGCCGTGAGGCAGTACCAGCCTGTCTTATAGCGGTACCCATCTCAACCAAGGATTCCAGCAATTCCTCTACACAGTTTCTTCCTTCCGCTAGATTAATGGGCGGTTCATCTTGATCGAAAGCCTCTGTGCTGCTTGTATCTGTTGTCAAGATACCATCGGTTCGCGGGCGGAGTTCCTCCGAATCTGGCTTCGCCACCACGCACAGGTGTAGGCACTTCGCGCTCCATTCAGACAGAGCCTCAAGTGTATCCGACAAAACCTTGCGAGCCATGTAATCATCTTTCAAGCGGTAGTCGAGTGAGTTTGGCGATCGAGCACTAGCCCCAATACTAGCATCCCAAAGATTGAAGTCACTCAACCGGTTTTGCGCCCAGTGATCTTTCATCAGCTCTTTGAACCGGATGGACGCACGCAGCATATTGCGACAATGTCGCGTGAGTTCGCGGATGTGCGTATGTCCCCTGTCGCTACTGCCAGGTGCAGCCATGGCACGCACAACCATGCGTGTATTGTTTCCGAGAAATTACTCTATCCACAGTAGGAATGAGCTCAAGAATAAATGACGACGGCTGGAAATCTATGGAAAGAAGCACGCTGCGTTGCGAAGTGGCGTATATGCAGCTGACACACCCAGCCATCCGTATCGGCGGGGTAGCCTGT